GGCTATAGATGCTAGAATTTAAAAACTTACATAGCACACTACTTAGGGAGTATGAGGATAATTTGAGATTCAGCCTGGGTTTGATGCTACTTAATGCAGATCTGACTTAAACATGGACATTTGAAGTGTGGAAGCAATTCAAGTGACATTTTTTATTCTTTCACATTGCCGTTTTACAGTGAATCATACCGTAAGTACTTTAATTCAAGCTTGTGATACTAATGATAGAGTTGTTTAGCATGTTTGCTATCTTTTAAGTTGTTAGCTAGCTGACCAGCGTGGTTCTTACTTCATCAGTACACTCGATGGGACTGGAACTATCCATGACCCTTAGCTAAAGTGAGTTTCATTTTACTATTTTTAACATTTAAGCTAGTTACATCATCAGCATTATGTCACTGTAAGACACGAAGCTAAGTCACCACAAAATAAATGTATGATCTGGGTTGTCATGACAACCCAGTGTCAGAAAAATCAATGTCAACTGACGTGTTACGTCAACTTGACATCAAAGTTGACAAAAGAAGCCTTTATGATAGATGATTCTACTGAATATGCCTTTAAAAATGTCCATGCAGATTTATACCAGTTGTCATTACAATCTTATGCAGGTTGTCACGCAGCCTTACGAGCACTGCCCTACAGTAGAGTGTTACAGATTTATCTTTACAGCGATTTTTGAAATGCCAGTATGAAGATTCTCATTTACTAAGATAAGACGTTGACATGGGCCCAGATTTCTGGCTGGCTTGCTGACTGACTGGCTAGTTTAACTGCATTTCCAGGTCCACATTGTTAAATGGCAGAAAATGCTCTGCTTCCAGGATTGTTATGCATAAGCCTGGCTCATTAATAACACCATGACCAGACAGTCTGGTGTTTGTGCTTGTCCAGACTGCTTAATGGAAGCGTACACTGTAAGCAAGCAGGATGGCTACCGGTCTTCCATTATTGCTGGTAATTTAAAACTGGACCTGCTTATTGCAGTCTTCTTTATCCCTAAATGATGGTTCATTTTCCTGGTTTCATATGGAGGCGCGCTGTGTAGGAGATGAGATTATACTATAAAGAAGCTTCACTTGTGTTTACCACATGTAAACATGGCTTTTTGATGTTTGGTTTGCTAGACTTATGATTTAAATCATTGGTGTAATCCAACACTAACAACTATTGGGCATGTTGGATTTCTTTTATTTGTCTTTAACTCTTAGGCGTCTGGAGTTATTGGTGGTGTTTTGCTGTACTATTTAAATACATCTACATCATTGCATAATCCATTGTATAATTAGGTATGTAATGAATGACATTAACATTCTGTGTTAACAGGTTCAAGTCTGACACTTTTCTATTGTTTTGATGTAACAAATTGACACAAAAATGGCAAAAATGTACATACAAAACAAAGCTGTACCAACACAACAATAGCTTTTCATCAAATGATAAGATGTCTCCTTTTCTACTGACCAACACAAATCTATTGAAAGCTAAGAATCTACACTTTCAGAACTTCCTCATTGACAAACAGCTATGAACGAGAAATAAATTAGTGAAAATAAATCCTGCTTTTGTTATCAGCAACTGTGACTTCTGAGGGTTAATATTATTTTATCATTTGAGACACAGCAGCTTCAGCCATTGCTATTCACCATGCAATTACATCACACGAATGAGAAGCTTTGGCTGAGCTTGTTTAAGTTAATCTTGACCAGAGCCTCTAATATCTCTGCCGCTGACTCTCCCTGAGCGTCCAGCAGGAGCCCAGAGACACCAGCTTTCTGTCTGACCAGCAGCCTCCCACATTCCATAATAAGCACTTTCCTCTCAGCAGGAAGAACCGAAGCTCTTCTGGATAGAACACTGGCTACCAAGCTCATTGGTCGTTAATGATCTGAGGCTACAAATAATGGGATAAATTCATGAAATTTTTTTAGCTCATTCATAAGTCACTAAAAAACTTACTTTGTATCTTGCATTAGAACTTCTTTCTTTACAAAAGGTAAGTTTGTATGTAAACAACTTGTAAAATGGTTTATATTGTAAAAAATTCAGCTATAAAAATAAATTACAATTAATTGCTTTCTTTTGTGTAGTTAATCAGAATTAATTGCATGTACTCAAATTGTTTAAATTTAATGCTAAAGAAAGATTTTTCAATTAAAATGCTGTGCATTTTGGTTTAGCTGTAAGAGTGAACAAAACAAGTGGTAACACCTTTCATGAATGTCACATAAGCATCTATAAATACATTCATAGCATGTTATAATGCATTCATAAACATGGCTATAAATATTTATAAAAATGCATTACACGTTATAGCCATGCTTATTGTGCATTATGAATTGTTAACATAATGCATTATAAGTACTGTTCATTACAAATTATAAGAGCGCATAAGTTGTATTTGTCCACTCTAAGTAAAGTAAAGCATATTGGGTAACACTTTCTATGAATGTCACCTTTGTAAGTATTTATAAACAATGCATTCATAAGACATTATAAACATAGCTATAAATATTTATAAAAAATGCATTATATATTATAGCCATGTTTATTATGCATTATGAATTGTTAACATAATACATTTTAAGTATTGATCATAACAAATTATAAGAGCTCATAAGTCATATTTGTCCGCTCTAAGTAAAGTGAAGCATTCTGTACTAAAGCCTCCTCCAGTGTTAAGAGTGAGGCTTCAAGTTGAAGTATTTACTGAAGAATTTACCGAAACAGTAAATTATACACAATAAAGTACATTACAGGCTTCAAATGTCAGATTTTGAACTAGTGCTGCCATCAGTCATGTTTTACCCACTGAGGGAAAGTCAATGTACACCACTGTTAGCTTGGCACTAACTTAACACTGCATATCCAATAGAATGCTAGCAGAAATTAGCATTACTGTAGTGTAGTGTAGCGATGTTACAGAGTGAAGGTTTCTAGCGCTTGACGTTAGAACCAGTGAGGGAACAAATTGCAATTACAGCACTCTACTATCTCGCCTCTCCCTCTCCAGGCCTTCACTCCACAGTAACTTCACGCTCAGGGTGATGTCAGAGGGGGTTCAGGGGAGGAGCTGATGGGTACTTGGTTTACTGTGATGTAATGTAACATTTAAAGTGAGAGAGCGCTGGGTAAAAAAAAGCACATTGTAGCAATAATTCTAGGCTGGACAGCCTGTTTGGAGCATCTGAGTATTCAGGACTGAACCCCCGAAAATGCAGCCCTAACAGCACCAGAGGTGAGAAACAAAACATTGAAAATCTCAAGGCATAAACAAGCATGTTATTAACGCTACTTATAATGCATTATATTAACAATTCATAATGTATAATAAACATGGCTATAAAGTGTCATTTGTATGGTCAAATCTGATGATACAATGAGCGGAAGCGAATTACACCAACAGCTTTGTTATTTATCAGTTTTTTTCATATTTTGCTCTCTCCAGTTATTATAATTTTAACATTATAAAGTTTGGTCAGTAGGGGGAGCAGTGCAGTGCTCGACCTCCACCTATGTCATTTTATTGGCTGCCCTCCAGAACATCTGCATAAGTTAGGCATGCTTCATGTAAATGATATGTAAATGAGGCACTTATTGGCTGGCACTTGATTTCATGAACTGAAACTGATTCATCCTTTGCTCTCAAATCTCTGTTTGTTTCCACAGTGTGCGAAAGTATGACTCAGAGTCTGCCCTGTTTTATGCAGCTTTAATGGATGATAGCCAAAGTATTCAGGACTTCCATAGCAATAAATAAACATGAAAATCACTTGAATGCAAGGTGGTGAAAATAGGGATCCAGTTTTCATCACTGATGAAAATTCCAATGAAAACAACAGTGGCAGTCCCATTATTGAGGTCTTATTGCTTATTTCATGTTCTTATAGATTTCCACTTTGCCATTTCTTTTGTTGGTTTGATGCTTGTTACTTATCCATACTTCTAGACCCATGTCTAATGGAGTCTGTCAGATTACTGATATTACCCATATCAATGGTGTTCCTTGCTTATAAATGATTCTTCAGACTTGATCATTTATGAGCAAACTCACAGCATTGCAGTAGCTGGAAATAACTTTGGTCTCATCAAGTCAGCCATCAGTGGAACTTCTCTGTATTTAAAATCTGTGTTTGAGCAAGGGCTACAGTCATGGAACTGGTCATACTGGGAGATTGCGTTTTGAATGGTCAAACTTGGACAATCTGTTAATGTCAGTAAAGAACATAAGTGGCATTAATCATTTAACATGTTAACACATTAAATGTGACATCATCATAAGCACGCATTTTGAAAAAAAATAGTAAAATAGAAACAGCTCAGTAAAAATCGGTACAAATCAGTAAGTATGTCCATAAGCGAAGAAAGAAAGTAAGTAAGAAAGAAAGAAAGAAAGTAAGTAAGGTGAAAAAATGGAAAAAATGAAACAATAAAAACTGGAGAATTGTTTTTGAACAAAAAGTAAAGAAACAGGGACACACAATGTCACTTATGTGAGGAATGAGAGGATGGTCTGGAGGCACTAGGCATTCGTTCCTGGGCCGGTGGGCTCTGCTTCTCCTGCCTGGCCCCCCTATGATGTGCTGAGTGGCGTCCTAATCAAAAATCAATGCCCCCCACTTGAGCCCAGCGGCCTGGGCCAGTGTCGGCCGTTTATGTAATTTGATAATATCAATCATAACGGGGGCCCAGGCCATCCGTCTACTTCCTGCTGCTCTGGGGGTCAGTGCGTGTGTGGGGGAGTGAGGCGACATTTCCCGAGCCATCAATTATGGCTTATTATGGGCTGTGGTGGAGGCAGAGAGCAGTGTAGCTCTCCACCATAAATAATATTAACAGCTTCTGCTCCATCAATCAATAGTGGTACAGTTGTAGAGCTGCAGTGCTAATGGTCTCTCTCTCTCTCTCTCTGTCTCTCTCTCTCTCTCTCTCTCTCTCTCTCTCTCTTTCTCTCTCTCTCTCTCTCTCTCTCTCTCTCTCTCTCTCTCTCTCTCTTTCAGCCTGGATCAATGGCTGTGGCTCCACACTCTCTCTGTGTGTACAGAAGCTGGGTAAAATGAGCTGCTCTTGGGCTTCTGAGGAAAGTCTTGCTCAGCCTACCGTCTCTGATTAATACTGTCGTTCTGTCTTGATGTCTACAAAGCTGCTGTCTTTCTTAGTGTGCCCCCTCCTACACTTCCTTTCAGCCTTCACTTTAGTGAAGTGTTTAGTTTAGTATTTAGCCTAGGGTCTGACCAAATGAAAATTTTATGATTAGATTAAATAGAAAATAAACATCAAACATCAGTATTTAGTTTGTCCTCTCTTTACCTTTACTACAGTTTTCCTTCTTTTCAGAAGTCTGAATTTCAGTTTTTCACAGGAGTCTGCAGGGATGTTTTTCCACACCTCTAAAGTTCAGTCTTAGAAGTTGGGTGCATTTTGTATTTTCTGCTTCTAACAATCCAAGTAATCCCAAACTGGACTCTGGGGTGGTCAGTCCATTGTTGTATGAATACCAGCACCTTCTTTGTTTGATTTGCACTTTTTTTGTCCATTTTCTTTTCTCATTAATGTCTTCTGGATGGCTACATATCCTTTTAGACTCACAGTGTTGAGTTGCAATAATAAAGAAAAACAAACAGATGAAGAACGTCTTGCAATATAAGTAATGCACAATTCATGTGCAAATGTGAAGACTTTGATGTGATTACCAACAACGGAACTGAGTTGTGCTGCAGTCTCCACTCATTAGTGCTTTTTGTAAGCTCAACACAACGATGTTGAGCACTTCAGTGAACATCAATGAATGTGGGTCAGATGTCTGTGAGGTCTTTATGCTTTTGTGATTTTAGCTTGCAGCATTTATTCAAGCAAAAAGAACTCACCTATCAAAATGAGTGGCCACAAGGTACTGAGTTAATTCTAATAAAGCTTTGATATGGACATGAGCTCTGAGTTGTCTAAGCTTCTTTTGTGCACCCATGCTACTTATTTTATTTATTTATTTATTTATTTATTTATTTATTTATTTATTTATTTATTTATTTATTGGGAAAAGAAACCAGATTTAATTGAATGTAACCTCAGCTATTTTTTGAGTATATTTACTTGAAAATTTACTTTAATGCTTTGTACAGTGTACAAGTGTCTCTCTCTCTGTCAGTTTCTGTGCTGAATCGAGTTATTAAAGGCATGCTGGCGCTCTCTCTGGCTGTAAGGTGGTGGTTTAGTGTCACTGTTGGAGCCAGAATCCTTTAACACTGGGCGCTAAATGAAGACCACTGTGGAGCAGCAAGGGGAAGTGCCAAGTGTGTGTGTGTGAGTGTGTGTGTGTGGAATCCTTTAGGCAAGTGTCAAAAATAGATGTCAGATAGAATAATTATGGGGCAGTAATGAATCGCTCAAGTCACTCTCTGCTGCTTTCTTGTTGCTTCCTGCTGAAATGGTGAGAGTGTATGTACATGGCAAGAACCAAGATGATATGTTGATGTCAGAAGTGGGTACAGCAATCTGACCCCTTGTGTGTGTGTGTGTGTGTATGTGTGTGTGTGTGTGCATGCAAACACATTTCCATAGCTGTAGTTTGAATGGGTGTGTGTTTGTCTGTCTGGGAGTGTTGGGGTAGTTAATCCAAAAAACTAATCCATTACAAATGACTCACTACTTATCTCAAACTGTAATGTGATCAGGGCTGACTCTAGCCTTTTGGGGACCCTAAGCAGAATTGTTTCGGGATCCCCTCATCTTACTAGCTGATGTTCTGTAAAATGAAGTGCTAACCAGTAACAATGACTAAATTGTAAAGCTGTCTAAATTATAATTATTTATAACTTGCTCATTTTTGTAAAGTTGATGATTTCTTTTTCCTTCTTTGGCGACTTCTCATGTTTCACAAATTTCTGAACCTGGATTAATAAAAAAATTCTTAACTGCTGTTGTAAACAAGTTAACTGTATGTGTAGATTGGGTTTTATGAACCGAAACTCAGTCAGAAAGTCTGTCAGTCTGTCTAAGTTGAACCTGCATTATTAAATACACCCCAGTTCCTCTACTTCTTGTTGTTCAACTACAGGCCAAAAAAAAAAAACAGAAAGAAAAAAACAACTGATTTTTAAGCTTTTTCTCCTATCTTCAGTTTTTTGGCTACAGATGTGTATGTAGATTTCTGAGACAAGATCAACCAATTGCATTTCTTCCCCCTCACTCAAAGATCATGTTCAAACTCAAACATAATGGTACAGTAATTTCTCAGAATCAGGCCTCCCAGGTGGCTGCAGGGCCCTAAACAGCTGCTTATGTCATTTATTAGGTAGAGCCAGCACTGGACATCATTAACATAGTTATTACTACCTGGAAACAGTAATTTCATGCTTTATTAATTCAGTGTCTATGTTATCCTCTACACCCACACAAATCTGTACCAGCTGGAAAGCATAAGGGAAAATCAACAAAGATGGATGAAAAATGATCCATAAATATAGATTCATATCAACAATGTAACAATATCTTAAACAAACTGTTACATTGTGTGTTATACACAGATACCCATACTTTATATAAACGGATTTTACACTCATTTGTCCATCCACAATTGTTCTTTTTTTGTCTCCTCCTCATGCACATGCAGGGATGAGCAGAGTTCAGAGAAGACCCACATGCTGTCGGCCTTTTGATGACCTCGGCACTTCAAAGCTTGGTTGGCTAACCCAGACTGCTCACCCTAGTACTGCCAAATTTGTTAAATGAGAATAAGAGAGACAGAGACAAAGAGAGAGGTCATTACGTCTTTCTGACCTGGCCAAACATAGCTGGGTTAATTCAGTCACCATGGAAATGGATAGATTGGGTAATATAATATGGAGCAGTGGCAAAGTCAAAGGACTAAACCATGAACCCAATGCTTTGCTTCCCACTGTGGCAGACTAGGGCCCAATACGAAAATTCTGTGACCGGTACTATGACTGATTTTAATGAGCTAAAAAACAAAAATTCTATCCAAAATAATTTAATAAAGTTCAAACTTAAACAGGCTTCAGTAGTTTAGTTAAATGGTGCTTTACTGACTGATGTGATTTAGTTATCATCTGTAAATTGTTGAATATGATTCTCACATTCCCCACTTGTCACATTTTTTAAAATTTCTTAAACAGCACGTCCACACAGTTTTAAACAGTATAAATACCACAGTGTGTGAGAGGGGATGCTACAGTATTTATACGAATAATACAACCATAATACAGTTTTTAATCTGTTCTCTTCATGGACTGATGTTTCTGTTATCCTTATATTAAAAGCTTAAAGTATTTTTTAACCATGATAGTGCTTTGTGTACAAATTTGTGAGTTCACCCTGTATTGCTATAATAGAGGTGAGCTATAAGCTGAGCAGGCACTGTAGGGACTGGTATTCTCTGAAGTGAATGCTTGTTGTCATGTCAGAGATATCTCTTTGTTAGAATATGGGACCAAAGCATTAATTATCAGTCCATTATCTGTAGGATGTCAATATTTGCCAATATTATTGGGCGACCAATATATGGATTTGGCTTTGCTTTGGCATACATGCCAGTCAACATGACCTGCATGGATTCCTGTGAATATTTTTGTTGTAGCAGGATAGTTGGGTAATATAATATGAGGCAGTGGCAAAGTCAAAAGACAACTCAAAGCTTCGGTTAGTCATGACAGACTAGGGCCTGACCGATTTGAGAATTTTGTGACCAAAATTAATATCGGCCAGTATTATTGGCCAAACCGATATATTATTTTGCTTTATGGTGCAGCTGCAGCTGTTCCTCTTCACTTTAAACATGCCAGTCAGCAGAACTTGCATAGATTAATTTGATCATTTTTGTTGTGATGGCATTAGGACGAAGCCATGGATGCCCTCTGTTGTCTGTACTTTTGTCCTTTTTATAGATAACAGTGTGTCAGATATTTTCAGCAACCTCATAAGGAAGCTATCTGAGACTAATTAACATGTTAGATAATATAATAGAGGGTAGATACAAAGCCTAAAGTCTAATACACTAACTTAAAGCTTGGGTTCCCATCAACAGGAGCTACATAGATTCATGTGGGCATTTTTGTTGTGGCAGGATAAGGAGTAACACTGACTCAAAGCGTCAGCTCCCTGAATAGCAGACTACAGTCCAACCAATTTGAAAATTTTGTGACCAGTACTTATATTAGAGGGTATTATCGGCCAACTGATATATCGATTGGGCTCTCTGGAGCACTATGGCAGTTGCAGCTATTCCATTTCCAGCCTTGCCAGACGCGCCAGTCAACAGGACCGGCATGGATTCATGCGGTCATTTTTGTTCTGGCAGGATGAGGACAAGGCCTTGACTGCCCTCTTCCCAGGCAAGGCACATTCATTAGAGATGATTTGTGAAAGCAGATGGGCTTTGTGTATTTACAAAATGTCACGCCTGCCTGAATAATGCAGGCTGAGGTATGAATTTGTAAAAGGTGAGACTCTCTCTCTCTCTCTCTCTCTCTCTCTCTCTCTCTCTCTCTCTCTCTTTCTCTCTCTCCCTCCCTCTTTCTCTCTCCCTCCTGCCGCCTGTCTCCTGTTGAATAAACGAGGGTTGGACGAGGGCACAAAATTGCATCCATAATTAATGAAAAGACACATTAGTGGTGTGTTTGGCAGCCTGCACCATAAACACAGGAACAAAGAGGACCCTTAAGAAGAAAAGAGAGAGAGAATGTGAGGATGAGAGGGCCAAATGATCACTAAAAGTGAGTGGGAAGGAGCGAGCAATGAAGAGATAAGGAAAACGAGATATAGGCAAAAGCTAACACTGTGTGTATGTAATTGTGTGGTTGTGTGTGTGTGTGTGTGTGTGTGTGTGTGTGTGTGTGTGTGTGTGTTCTTATCCCATTGGTTCTGCGTTTGCAGGCATTTGAGCCTGTGTTCCCACTGCAGGTTCAAATCTATATCCACAGGCTTTAATGAGCAGATAAAGTGGAGCTTGCTAGTCTACTATAGACTCCAGTCGCTGCCTGCCACCTCCAGTGTGCAACATAACTCTCCATCGACTCCTGGCCAGATGAGCTTCAGCACCAGCAGAGACAGACTGGCTGTCTGTAGAGGAACTGAAAATCAGAAAAATGGCCATGTTGTTGAATACTTTTGCCTGGTGAATTGTACTCCAATGGAAAGTTCTATATTTAGGTGTAGTAATAGTATCATTAACACTAGAAAAGCCAAGATGGTCATTCTGAATATTTAACATTTTTAAGATGTGAAAATTTTGACAAAGTAAAATGGTGGTGTCTTTTTTCCTGCTATCCCAGCTGCTTTTCAATACATACCTCACCTCATTTACCTTCCAAAATTTCAGGAAAGAACTAGTAAATCATTTACAAAGTTTGATCTAGAGCAGGATAAAACAGTAGCAACAGAATGGGACAGTTATTCTCAGTTATGGTATGAAAAAGCATTTAAAATTATATGGCCATTTGGGTAGTTATGCAATTCTGGCCTTTTGATCTTTTTAGATTTAAGGTGTAAAAAGGCAAATAACATTTATCTACAGAGGACAAAAAAGTTGTGTCTAAGTTCTCAAACTGTAAACAAACTACCTATAAAACTCGATTATCAACATTGTTACAGTTAAAAACAAGTTATTACTAAGATTAAGGGAGGGATTAGGGTTAGGTTTTAAATTGAGGTTAGAATAAGAATAAGAATAAGAATAAGGTTTAGAGCAAATATTTATGTTTAAGGTGAGATTGAATTTAATATATATATATATATATATATATATATATATATATATATATATATATATATATATTTAACTAAATGCAAGTTAAATACAAGGTAAGCATCTACAAAGCATCTTCAGTGCACTGT